GACCTCCTCCCTGAAACTGGAGGCGGCACACTACCGGTTTCCGGCTCAAGACCATGGTCTCAGATTTGGAGGCACTGATCCTCATCCCATCTGTGAACCTCTCCAGTGAGAGCTGGAGATCAGGATCTGATGAAGCCAATAGGACCACATCATCCACAAAAAGCAGAGATGTGATCCTAAGGTCACCAAAAAGGATCCCCTCAACTCCTTGTCTGCTCCTAGAAATTCTGTCCATAAAAGTKTTGAACAGAATCGGTGACAAAGGATAACCTTGGTGGAGTCCAACTCTCACTGGAAATGAGCCCGACTTATTACCAGCAATATAGACCAAGCTCTGGCACCGGTCCTACAGGGACCTAACAGCCCGTATCAACGGGCCTGGTACCCCATACTCCCAGAGTACCCCCCACAGGAGTCCCTGAGGGATATGGTSGAACACCTTCTCCAAGTCCACAAAACACATGTAGACTGGATGAACTCCCATGAACTCTCCAGGACCCTGCTGAGGGTGTAGAACTGGTCCACTGTTCCACAACCAGGACCAAAACCACACTGCTCTTCCTGAATCTGAGATTCAACCATCTGACAGACCCTCCTCTCCAGGACCCCTGAATAGACCTTACCAGGGAGGCTCAGAAGTGTGATCCCCCTATAGTCTGAACACACTCTACGGTCCCACTTTTTAAATGGGGACCACCACCCTGGTCTGCCAATCCAGGCAAGCTGCCCCCGATGTCCATGCATTATTGTGTTTGATGGTCACAATGGAAAATGGCTGTAGTCAAGAAGCGGCCCCTGAGGGTCAGTGAGACCCAACTGTTTTCCTGTTTACATGCTGTTTTTGAAAGAGTGGACCCTAGGGTACCTGAAAACACAGAAGTTCAGTAGTGGGGTGTGCATGGTGACCCACCCTAATCCACAGACTAAAAAGATGAAAATTTTCATCTTCTGTTGGGGTTGTGACTCTTTTGACCCCCTGATGATATCATCAAGCACATATTTGTTTAGTATCGAAGAACTAATCAATATCAATCAGTTCATACCTTGTTTGGTTTGTAGCAAAGTCATTGGCATTTAAGTTTTCTGTGCCCCTAAGTTTGATGGTCACAATGTAAAAGGGGTGTGGTAAAAAAGGGTCCCTTGGGGGCAGTGAGACCCTGTTAACATGCATTTTCTGAAAGGGTGGACCCTAGGGGTACATGAAAATACTATAGAACTTTAGTAGGGGGGTGCATTTACCCACCCTTGGCCATGGACTACAGTATTTATACATTACCAACTATTGATAACTACTTGATGGAACATCACTTCAAATTTAGAATCTTTAGCACCTAAGAGATTAAAACCATGTTTGTAAATATTTGAGCCGATGTGTCCAATTATGACTTTGTGTGAATTTGAAATCATACACAAGAAATTCAAACTTGTGCTCCCAATTTTTGTTGGTATGTACAYTGAACATTTATCAATCCACCCTGGRAAAAATATRGTTCAAAGAAATCATTAAAAGCATCAAAATACGACATTCATGCCATAAAGAGTGTCTGAATGCAACAGTGAGTGATAGCAGATTTGTGAAAGTTGTGTGTAAATATGTTCTGCTATTTATTAAGGGGGAAAAAGGAATGGATGGACCAGTTGGACCAAAAGGTGAAAAGGGTGATAAGGTATGGACTCGTATTCATCCATCTAAGTTAGAGAAGATTTTAGAATCATCTTCCTGTTTCAGCTTAATCTCTCCTCTCTCAGGGTGAAACTGGACCKAAGGGACCACCTGGGATTCCAGGAAATGTGAGTCAAAATCCTGTTGTTTTTATTTGTACGGGACAGCATCGATAACTTTGCACTACCCTGAAGTTTGTTTTTCCACTCACTCTAGATGCAATTGTTTCCCCATGTTGTCACAGGTTGCAGAGATCATCCCAGAGCCTGGAGAACCAGTATGTACACCTTTTCTCTTAACACCAAACTAAATAATATGGGTAACGCTTTCTTTTATGGTACCCTTTTTACCATCTAATTACAAGGTAATAAAAAAAAGAATTGAATTATAATTACTACCTTATTACCACGTAATTACATGGTAATCAGGGTACAATTTTACTATGTAATAATTGTCTGCAGTAATGTAGCACTTACCTGGTAATGTATTACAATTCACTATGTAACACCTAAATAAGTAGTAGGTAATTTGGACAGTTTTAAAGTTATATTTCATTGCAATTAACCACTAACCCCAAAATTTAGTTGCATTCTTTTGGTTATAAATATAGTGTTTGAGTTACTATTGAATAGTAATTTGATTGTAGTTACCCAATAAAGGTAGTTTTAGTAACAGTAGTTTTTCTTTAGTACCGTAATTACCACGTAATTGCATGGTAATAAGAGTACTGTAAAAGAAAATGCTACCATAATATGTTCGTGTACACCCTGGTGGACCTGCTGGAAAAACATTTGATAACAAAGATTTACACTTGAGTCATTTTGAAAAGTTTGTTGTTGGTTTTTTTTTTTTTTTTGCTTGATTTGCTTCTTCAGCTTCTCCCCTCTGCACATTTAATCTCACATTCTTTTGTTACTGCATGCTGTGTGTGTACACATTTTTTTAACCTGATGGGACAATTTTTGACCATTTTGCCCAGTACATACAGCCTTGTGTGGATCCACTGTTCCTTATTGGGACAAAAGCTCGGTCCTCACCGTTGGTGGGTGTGGGGTTAGGACTAAGGTGTAAAATGAGTTTAGGTTAGCGTTAGGAAAAGGGGTCAGAGTTAAGCTATTGAAATGACTGGTAAATGAATGGAAGTCAATGCAAAGTCCAAATGAGGATAGAAAAACAAGTGTGTGTGTGGACTTGTTTCTAATCCAGATTGAGGACCATTTGTGCCATCGTTACTATCAAAGTGAGGTCTTTGATGTAATATAAGGACCTCTTCAAGCCAGAGTCAGTGCCTGCAGGTGAAAGAGAACAAAGTACAGTGAATTGAGTTTTTGCCTTTTCTTCTGGCTCCTTGGGCACTTTGTCAGGAGATGTTGATGCTTCTGGGCCTAACCCCTGGACATCAGCCTCTTCAGAAAGAATGTGGGTAACCACGGCTTTTTCAAGTGTCCAAAGTGACCCCAACTCAATCAACTTAGCCACAGGAGCTTTAAGGTCTTTTTAAGGCTAATCTTTGACAAAGCAATATCGCAGTGCATTACTACTTTAAGCAGAGCATCTTTGAAAGTGCCAAGCACCAAAAATAAAACACAATATAGTTGTTTTTCTTCAAAAATGAACTGAAATACAGCAAAACTCTGTTGTACAGAAAGTAAATAGACTAAATGAAGTCTAAGGGAAAAATACCAAATAGATGTGTCCAAAAGAAAACAAAATACAAAAACTGCGAATAACAAAACTAATGAGCTAAGTGTCTAATGACTTAAACTATTGAAATCAATTAAAGTTTTCTGACCACCAAAGTTTTAACTTACAACACAAAGTCACGACAATCTTAAAGACCAACAACTTGCTAAAATGCACCTAAAGCACAGCAACACTGTCTGTGTCTCAATTCATGGGCTGGGTCCTCGTGAACACGTAGCACAGCTGGGCCACATGGGCCCATCCTTCCCAGTTCAGGTAGGCTGCTTAAAACTGCTGTGAAATGAGACGATCTAGTCTTCGCTTGACGTACGTTTGTGTGACCACGCACTCCCCTGTTAACATAATGATCACTAGCTGTGTTTCCATTCACCATGAAAATGCACAAATTGGAATTTTGAAAATWAATTTGCTCAATGGAAACACGTCAATTTTGGAAAAAAAAGATATGTTTTTTGACAAAATGTTTTTGCGCTAGGATGAAGTGGTTTTTCGGCCGTAGCGAAATTTATGTGTTTCGCAAAACTGCAATGGAAACACTTTTTTCACATCACGGGAGTCACGTGATCAA